TCCCCCTTTTTTTTGGGCGGGGGTGGGGGGGGGGGGGGGGGGGGCAAGGGGAGCCGTTGCTTGGGGGAAACCAATTTTAAAACCCTCCTCCTCCGAGCACCCACTCTTGCCTGCGCGCGCGCACGCACGCACGCACACACACACACACCCACCCACCCCCTCTGTAGGAAACAGAGCCCATACATGTGAGGAGACAGCTTGAAAGCCAGCTTCCCACATATACTGGCTCATGCCTGCCCTCTTCACCCTCTGTGCTGCTGCATCTCTATCAGAGGTAGCAAAAGGCGGTGGGGGGGGGGCGTGGGGAATGTGTGTACTTAATAGGATTAACCGATAAACCGAGGCTTATTGGTCAATCATGTAGTTGACTACACACTGACATCCCTATAGCCAAGTGTTCAAATATGGTGATTTTAAATACTTTGCAAGTCAGCTAAACTTGAACAGAATTTCGCAGAACAGAACAAAAAAAATTTCTATACCCTGAGATATTTCTTCTTGCTGAAAATTGAAGGCCTGCTGCCAAACAAAGGAGTTAATGCTTCTCAAAGGCAAAAAGGCAAAAGAATGCCTGACAATGGAAAGCACTCAACAACATATCTATAGGGATCACTTCCAGCTGCCTCTATAATTAAGGAGCTATACAAATAATATGGCATGTAATATCAATTTTAATATGAACATTATTATTAGTGGTATATAATAGTACCAGTGTCATCCTTTGTAAATATGCGTGTAAATTTTAAGCAATAAATAAGTTTAGATGCATGATGCCTGATGCCTGATGCCTGATGTTTAGACGCATGATGAGTATCACGAGGCCACTGTCCCTAGATGTAGGGAGCTGCAAGTGTATCTAGCTAGGAAGCGTAGCAATTTATACTTTCTGCCTTTAAATGAGTAAAAACAGATGTGAATCTTGTCTCTTCTTCCCTTTATTTGGTGGAGAAGAGTGCAAAGAATTTGGGAAGAAGCAGAAACACAAATTCTCTCCAGGAATTCGGAACTAAAGGAAAATTTCAAAGAAGTGGCCTTGGAAGGTGAATGTGTACAGGAAAAAAGAAGCCTCTTAGAATACACACACAACAAAGCTGTCTTACCTGTGTGGCTTTATCCCTCATACAGGGAGCAGCCTGCACATGATTATCACGAGGCCATTGTCCAGCAAGGTAGGGAGCAGCAAGTGTATCCAGTGAGGAAGTGCGGCGAATTATACTTGAAGGGCTTGATGAAGGTGGTCGTGATTTGTCAACTAGATTTAAAAAAAAAAAATTGAGCAAATTTAGTATATCAAGAACAAGTGACATTTAATAAAGCAAATGTTTAAATAGCCATACTGGAAATAAAAATTGGCACGTCTTCAGTACAGAGCGCACGCACATAAAAATGTAATGCCTTTTGTAGTTTTTACATTCCTCTCCCCCCCCCCCCCCATTACATTACACTCATTAAATGTGCTTTCAGAGTTTCCCAATAAAGGATCACCGAAAGGTAATTACCAATGTTGTATTAGGCTGGAGTTTTTTGGGGGGGGGGGGGTGAGTTTTTGCTTTGACTTAAAAGCACTATCAACATTCATGCCCAATTTAATATTGGATTTATTTTTAAAGCTCAGTCGGTTAAACCATATGCCAACTACTGCACAGTATATTTTCACACAGTGGTTAACAAAACTGAGCTTTTACTATTAAGCAGAAAACATCCATCCTGATGGACAGTTATGAATTCGGCTGCTTAACACTTTGATCATGTGCATACTTGTTTTTGTTTTTGCTCAGTTACCATATATGTAGTTCAAAATTAGATATTTCATAGATGTAAAGATAAAGAATTAATATTTGAGAACTAGATATTTCAATATGCAAAATGTTTAGATTTTTCCTAATATTGCAAAAATAACTAATTTAGACTCAAAATATGATCTACATTTAATATGATTTTAAAATGATACATGGAATGCTTGTCCTCCATACTGAGGATAAGTGAGGTAGTCTCAAAAAGAAATTATCAATTGCTTTTTCTTAGAGAAGTACCACTGTGCATTTAAACTTGTGGAATTCAAAGTGAAGCTATGGAACAGCAATGAAAAGCGGCACAGGAAAGGATGTGTGTGTACAAGCATTCTGATGCTTAAGTGAAGTCCTCACCCTACTTTACATAAAGGGGTGCTCTTTCCTAAGCCCCCCAGTTCCTTTTCTCCAAGGACAGAATTCTAATATTATCTAGAAATCTGAAGTAGGTAGGATGTTGGTAGGATGACTATGCAGAGGCAAATTCCCAAGAATAGTAGTGATAGAAATGTAGCCGTGTTAGTCTGGGGTAGCTGAAGCAAAATGCAGGACAATGTAGCACTTTAAAGACTAACAAGATGGTCTGGCCCACGAAAGCTCATCATCTAATAAACCATCTTGTTAGTCTTTAAAGTGCTACATTGTCCTGCATTTTGCTCCAAGAATAGTAGTTGCTGATAAGTAACCTTTTTCTTCTTTGAGAATATCAGCAATATTCATCATATGAATTTATGTGCGACTGTAAAGCCACTGATAAATACTGGCCTAAATGTCTGTACGGAGCTCAAACCCTAAAAATCTGCATTTTTAAGGTGCTGTATTCATTGCAATTGACACAGTACACATGGGCCAATCGCTTACATCCCTACCCTGGACTCCAGGAAGGCCCTGCTTGGATTCCCTGAAGCCTGCTTACCCCCAGTATGCCCCAGACTTCTGGTCGAGAACCACTGGATTAGGTGATTCCACAAGAAAAATGTGTAATAGTTGTTCATTCAACCTGGCTACTCAGTACTATCTAAGTGGTCAATTATATTTAACATTTTAGCACAAGGCAAAAGAGCACCACCTATGATCAAAAGAGGATTAGATTACACATACAGGCACAACTCTTTATTAGGGAGATCATTCTTGCCCCTGAAGTGATGTAAGAAATGTAATATTTTTAATCTGAGCAATGGCTATCAAATTCAAATCTAAATAAAGACCTAAATATTTTTCAAAGCCTTTTGTCCTTTTCAATAAAGTCCTCTTCTGCTGTAAAGAGCAGAAAACCAAAGAAAGCTAAAAATCAGCAATCCAAGTTTGATCAGTTATCTTACTAGTAAAAGAAATAACTGCTTAAAAAGAACTCCCCCAAACATTAGAATAAATGCCCCATAAACATTAGAATAGACTAAATGAAAATTGAAAGCATTACTTCATTACTTATTTAAATCCAAGCTAACCAGCTGTCTAGTTTTAGAGATGTGTAGCAGATCCTAAAAATATTCATGTGTGTATTTCCCTAGACTTCCTATTCCCCACCCAAATATATTAGAATTTTGCATTTTATTCAATTGTTATTTAGATGGGGTGGAATGGCTCTGACAATGAAATACATTTCTAATAAATACTCCGGCACCCGCTGTTAAGAACATTACCACCACCAATTATTAAATCCTACCTTAATACAATTAGTCAAGTCTAGCATTTAGACTGTCAGCCTGTTTCGAAATGCAAATCTCCATTTCAATCAACTATTTGTGGGGTACTCATATTTTCTTTTTCTGCAAGTTCTCGTGTTGTATTACTTGCACCAAGTGCTCATCTACTAGTTTCCCTTAATGTGACCTACATAGCAAAAGGTCTGCTTCCATTAAGACAATCACAACAGCTATGCTGATGAAAAACAATAGAGCAATTGCAACAAACAGCAGAGTATTAAATATTAGGTCTGGTTTAATTAGCCTAATTGTCAACCTTTTCACCTCCCCCACGCCCCCAACTATTTTGCCAACAAGTGTTCCCATAACTAGTTATCAATTAAGGAAAAAACTCATTAATAGAATACACAGGTGTCATGCAGGTCTATAGGAAAATGCAAGTGTTCTACTGGTACACAGATTTTGAGGCAGGCAAGGAGCCTAAAAATTGTAAGTTAAAAGAACAAAGTCAGAGTAACAAACTACTTCAAATCCTTAAAATCATTTAAGTGAAAGTACTTTACAAGTTCTATAATGTAGATGCTTCATCACAAATAGGAGTATTTGTTTATTCTCTTATGAAAGAATTCATGAACAAGTCCCCTAAGGAGTCTCCTAGTTTTGGGGGAGGAGATGGGGGGAGCAAGACTGGGAAACTTCCAGCCCATGAACCAGATCCAGTCCATGGCAGAAACCACAGTCAATGGAACCCAAGGGGCAGTCAGGGCAGTGCACTCCACACAGAGTTGCCTGGCTGCCTAGTTGCCAGATATGCACTGGATGCTTCCTGGAGCAGCTTGGAGCCCAGGCAGGCAGGGAGCCTGCCTTAGTGTTCTGCGCCACTGACCATGATACCCCCAAGATAAGTCTGAGCCCATACTCTGAACCTTGTCCCGTACCCCAACCCCCTGCCCAAACCCTGAACCCTCTCTCACCCAGACTCCCTCCCAAAGACCACATCCTGAACCTTCTCCCAAATCCCTGACCTATCTCTGCTCAATCCCCAGCTAGAGCCGGCACCCCCCTCTCACAGCCTAATCCCCTGTCCCAGGCTGGAGCCTGCTTCCACACTTGAAGTCCTTGGCCTCAATCCAGAATCCCATGGACTCACACCAGATCCTAGAGGAAGCCCTTTACCTCTTGCAGGGTTGGAGCCACGAGCACCAGCTCATCCCACTGACGTGGAGAAATCCAGGGCTCTCTGCTGCCCCACAGGGCTATGTCTGGTCCCAAACTGATTTTTATTGCGGGTCAATGGCCCCTAGTAGGAAAAAAAAGTTTTCCCACCCCTGCTATAGAAACTAGGAATGTGAATGTGCATCCATGTACATAGTTAACCAATGACCCTGGGCTCATTGGTTAACCTTCACAGTTACATGCAGCCCACCCCCACTGCCTGATACAGAGGCAGCAGTGTGGAGAAGAAAGGAGGCAGGAGCTGGTATACATGGGGAGACAGGCTTCCCAATGAGCCAACGGCCCCCCGTCCACCACCTGTAAACGTGTAACCAATGAAAATTTCAGCTGTTACACATTTACAAAAATAAATTAATTTTAACATCCCTAATAGGGACATCACACCATGAATTTAAACCATATTCATAATAGAAGATAGGGGAAATAGAAGGAATATTTAAACAAAAATATAATTATTGTAAATATGAAAGTACAGTTTCTTAGTATACTTCAAATCAGAGTAGTTCAAATAAAGACACAAAAGGGAGATCTTATATAGGTTGAACCTCTCTAGTCCAGCACCCTCAGGACCTGACCGGTTCAGAATATGAGAATTTTCTGGTTCACGGGAGGTCAGTATTCTCTAGCAGCATTACCAAACACTTCCACTGCTTACTAGGTGTTACAGGATATTTAGGGGGTAAATTAGATCTAAATAATAGCTCAGAACACAAAGCCAGGACTGGTGGCTGTAAAACTTTATGGCACTGCATGAAACTTGGCCACATCCATGAAATGTGGACATGTGACTGACTAAAACAATTCCGAATGACTGATGTTTATAGACCTGAGAGTTCTGGACTAGAGACGTTCAATCTGTAACGGACCTCATGAGAAAAAAAGTACATATGTGATCCTTTATTAAATTATGTAGTATAGAAGAAACATTTATGAGGTCCACTTGATTATGTTGTTTCTGAAAGTCCAAACTCCATCCTCTGGAGGAGCATTTACAATGCAAGTTTTACAAATCCCAAAGAAAACAGATTGTTTAATGTTAATAACATTTTTTTAAAATGTTTAAACAAATACGTATTAACCTGAACTCTTTGCAGCATAGAACTTAATAGTTAATATAGAAGAAACATTTATGAGGTCCACTTGATTATGTTGTTTCTGAAAGTCCAAACTCCATCCTCTGGAGGAGCATTTACAATGCAAGTTTTACAAATCCCAAAGAAAACAGATTGTTTAATGTTAATAACATTTTTTTAAAATGTTTAAACAAATACGTATTAACCTGAACTCTTTGCAGCATAGAACTTAATAGTTAAGGGGCAGGGAGGGGGAATTCGGACTCAGGCTAGGGAGCCAATCAATAAGAAGGGCTCTAATATTTTCATCAAGATTCCAGCTCAGTTGTATTTCAAACTTGGCGAGAAGAAATGCATTCACTTCAAAAACCACAGAAAGTTTAAACAGAAGTGAATTGAGCACATGTTCAACTTTACTTCCTGCTATGTCTATTCTATCTGGATTATCTTTACTGCTTCAACTTCTATTTAAAGTTAATAAAGTGTAACGACTCTTTCTCCGCTCTC